TGATGTACCAGAACCAAGAAACTCTCCCAGAAAAAGCCCTCAGACAGAGCTGCAAAATGCTCAGGAAGGCTGTTACAAAATTTTTAGGAACTGAAACTCTTTATAATAATAAATTATAATTATATATATTTTTAAGAATAAATTATAATAATAATGTGAGTCATGAGCAAATTTACACGACTGACTCAGAAGAAACAAGTTGCAATTTTTTGATTTATGATAAGTTATCAGCTTGAAGGGGAAAAAAATGTGCAAATATATATATATATATATATATATATATATATATATATATATATATATATATATATATATATATATAAAATTGAGCACTTTGTTCTGATTTCGTACAGGTTTTGCCCTATAACATCAAATTTTGTATTGGTTTACTGTATTGTTACAGTGAACAAATTAAGGGGTGACCTGGGAACCATTAAGTCAGATTTCAGGCCTGTCACACACCAGTTAAATGCCATGTCACGAGGCTTTCTGGAGGTGGAGAGCACCTCAGGGGTGTTCAGTAATGGTGAAGAGCAGACCCACCCTGAAAATGCCCTCTGAGCTCCTGGGGAAACTTTCTGAAATGAAGGGTGGCACCCAGCTTTTTGGAAATCCTTGATTTAAAAGGAAAACAGCAGAAATACCAAAGCTGCTGTGGCAAGAATCAGTGTTTCAAGGATGAGAGTGAAATGCCGCCGTTTTAAAACCTTGAAGTAAATAAATAAATCTATTTCTCCTGGCTCCCTGGAGCTCAGTGTTACTTGCCAGCTGGTGGGCTCATGGTTTGTCTCCCTGCCTTTACAGTGACAATGGCTCTGATTATTCGTTGTGCATTTTTAATTAATGCTAAGCCAAAACTCCACCACTTCAGTTCAAGCAACAGTGCTTAATGTGCTGCTGAAAATCCAGTTTCCTGCTGATGTGAAATTGCCAGATACTGGGGTGAGCGGCAATTACACAATATTTTAACTACTGCACATGAAATGTATGAAGAAAAAAGGTTTTCATTTGTTCAATTCAGCCTTATCACAGTCTGTGAAATTTATCCTGTTTGAGTTAAAGGAAGTGAGACTTTCCCTTTCAGCTCTGAGTGAGAGTGGATGGGACCCTGAATTTGGAACACTGAGTCAGTTTTAAAAAGATGCTGTAAGGTTTTTGTGTGAGTGAACACATACACGTTGGAAAGCCTGAGGTGTTCTCATGCAGAAATGGAATTATGCGTGTGGGAAAAAGCTTGTGTTTCATAAACTAGTCTGTTAGTGCCACTGCCACTTATTTCTGTAGCACACAAATAATCTTAACTTGAATTTTCCTGTTCAAGGACCAAGGAAGTGGAAGGCCTCTCTTGTTCCAAAATGTGCATTTGATAAGGATTGTTTGGCTCACATTTACCGGGAATGTAAGAATACACGTTTTTGTGTTTTTCAGCCATGGGTGCTTGCTTTTATACATGGCACCAGGAGACACAAACTACAATTGAGATGATTTTTTGGTGCATTTTCCACCAAAGCATCATTAACTCCTTGCAAATATATGGCTCATCCTTCCAGTCCTGTGACCAGCGGTGTATCTCCTGTCTAATTAAATTAGTGTGTTTATCCTTTCTAAATCCTTCTGCCATTTGAGTACAACTGTGATGGCACAGGTGATACCTGGCAGAGGAGAATTACCTGCCACTGCCAGGCAGAGCTGCAACACGAGAAATCACAGCAGAGATAAATACTATGTGTATTCCATTCCCCAGGGCATCCCAGTCATGCCATGGTTTAGGAAAAGCTGATAAACTGAAAGAATTTTTTTTTCTTGGTTTTTTTTGTTTTGTTTTGTTTTTTGGGGTTTGTTTTTTAGTTGTTGTTGTTGTTGTTGTGGTTTTGGTTGGTTTTGGGGTTTTTTTATCTGCATTTTCTTTTACTTCCAAAGTTTTCCTTTTAAGTCACCAGGTACTAATTCTTGTCTCTTGTTCAGGAGGGGCTGGAAGGAACACACACACACACACACACACAAACCTTGAAATTCTGCACCAACAAATCCGGCCTGGCTCATGCTGGAGATTTGCAGTGCTGAGCATCTCGAGCACTCAGATATCCACCCTGAAAACCAAGGAAAAGCAAAGGGAGAAGAGCTGGGTTGGAAAAGGGGATGAGGAGTGAGGAACAGGACCAGAGGGAAATTCCCTCGTTCCCCATCTCGGTCTTGTAGAACCTCTCAAAACAAAGGTGTTGATTTGCCCATTTAAACCAAGGAAATGAATTATCAGGTCAGATTTACCCTGGCAGCACCATCAGACACCAGCCAGGAGGAGAAATGACCCCTGTGGGAGGAAGAGGCTCCCCTGTGCCTCAAGAACCTGGGTTTGGGAAGGGCTGCTCAGCAGGGTGAGGATCTCACACCAGGGACTCACAGTGAATTTGTCAGGCTGCCTCTGAGCAGTGCCAGGTTTTGTTTCCTCAGCTCCAGGCGGGACAAATGTCTTGGTTTGGAAAGACAGGAGTCTGCTAAGGAAGGCAGGAGCCTCCCCTGAAATGGAAAATGCAAACCCCCTCCCTCTGAATTGCTATAAATTTTAAATTAAGGGGCTCAGAGGCAAAAAATACAGGAACAGTTCTTTAATAGGGAAGAAAATAAAAAGATAAAATAAACAATGCAGTACACCAAAACAACACTGACAGAGTCAGAACCCAGCCTGACACCCTGTGGGTCAGGCTGTTGGCAGCAGAACCATTGGAATTGTGGCTCAGCCCTCCTGCAGTGCCAGGGGTGGTTCTGCTGGAGCAGGGATCCTGGAGAAAGGTGCAGTCTCTGCCTCTGCAGATCCAGGGCAAGAGGCAGCTGCTGTTCCTCTGGGCAATGCAGTGCAGAAGCCGTGCTGGTGTTCCAGAATCTCCAGATTATATCTGGGTAGGAATGCTTGGCTCCTCCCTCTGGGCTCACATCTCCCAATGGGATGCTGTAGTTCTTATCAGCCATGCAGGGATATTCCATGGCTGTTATCAGCAGGTGTCTCCCCAGTTGTGGAAGAGATAAGGAAAACTGCCCACTGAACAGAAGACAGCTGCCACACAGATGGCAAACAGAACACAATTGGCTTGGCAATCCAGGACAACAGCCCAGCTCTCTGGAGCACAAGGAACATCTCCTGTGTGGCCCTGGCACCCTGAGCTGTGCCCAGCATCAGCCAGCTCTGTGTGCAGGACAGGGAATGCGGAAAACGACTATTTTGTGATTGGCTTTTCACAAATATTAAAATGAATATTATATGTGTTGTGTTACAAAGTAATGCTGTATTAATTCTCTTAAGCAGTGTGTTAAATATAGTTTTAGGTTATAAGATAAGGTTAAAATAGAAACCATGCTATGTAGGATACTTTTTTCCTAAGGAAAGGACTCACACTGAGATAGCAGCCACAGGACACCTGAATCTTTCAGAGAAAGGGAATTTATTGCTCCATTATCAGAACAAACGAACTTCTTCCTGCCTTGCTCAGCCCTGAAGAGCTGTCAGGATTCAGAGGAAGCAGCTGACACTGCCCAGACAGAATCCTGTGTTTGAATGGAATTGATGCACCATGAATGAGGTGTATGAATATGCAACAGGCTGTTGTTTTAAGGGTTAATCCTCTGTTAATGTGGGTCCTTTTTGGGGCTTATTTTGCCCAGAAAAGGTACCCGGGCTGTCCATAACTCTTTGTTTCTATTGTCTCATATTGTCCTAATCCAAATTGTCCAAATCATTATTACTCTAATTGTTTTACTATTTGTATAACCATTCTTTTACTATTAAACTTGTAAAATTTTAAAAACAAGTGATTGGGGTTTTTCACAGGGAACCAACCTGGGCAGGGTTGAATTCTCACCTTCTCCTGCCAGCCCCACTCAGACATTCCTGCTTTTGCTTGCTCCCTTCATGGAAAAGATAAAAGTTTGGCAGCAGCTGGCCACAGGCAGCCTTGGCAAGTCCTCAAAAGCTTGTCTATTACACGTGGTTATGAGTCAAAGATATATTTTTTTCCCTCTGAAGTGCCTTCCTAGATGAAGTAATCTATGAGGACTCCACATCTAGTCTGTGTGTCCCCTGTACTAATAAACAGAATACATGTGGACATCTCTCAAGGCATTTAAAGACCACTGCAGCACCATTTGCAAAGGGTTCAAACAACCAATTATTTCTGTAATCTAAAATTATAAAAGCCATTTGCTTGCAAATCTGGTTTTGATTGATTTTCTATCATGCTGTAGTTCCCCCTATTTGTAACATAAAAGCATTACAGTGATAAGAACATTGCTGTGTTCTTACTTGCAAGAAATCAGGGCCAAATTATGGCTAATTTGGAGTTCCCAAACTGCCCCTAACAGAAGAAAGGATGAGTGAGATGGCAGTATACTAAACTCTCAGAAGCAGCAGTGAAAATCATAGCACAGTATCCTTTGCACTGCTGGCTGGCACCTTCCACCTCTCTGTTTATTTATATTTGTTTTATTTATATTTGTTTGTTTATATTTGTTTTATATTTGTTTGTTTGTATTTATCTGTTATTTCTATTTTCCATCTGGCATTCTCCATTCAGGTAGAAGTCCCTAGGGAGACTGATGGGATTTGGTAGAAAATAAATTTACCTGGAATTACAGCACATAATGCTCCTAATCCATCTCCTGGCACAGAGCTGAGCCATGGGGTAAGCCTCTGTGAGCAGATGTCTGGTGTTTTCCCATCAGATCTTGGGATAAACCTCCAGCTTAGACACAGGAAAGCATCAGGATGCTGCTGCCCCGCAGCCACCATTTAATCTGTGCAGTGGATAAAAACACACCTTAAGTGGCCCTGAAGATTCCAGAGTGGGAAAATGAGTTTATGGGGGCAAAAAGGAGTGGATGTGACTTGGGAAATAAAATTAAAACACATCTTGAGAAAGAAACTGGTGCTGGTTTGTCAGGACACAGCAAAATATAAAATGAGGGAAAATTTTGCCTTCTGAAAGAATAAGCAAAGAGTTTGGTTTGGGTTTGTTTTTTTTAACCTTTATTTAATTTCAAAGTTTATTTAATTACAAAGTTTATTTAATTACAGATTCTCTCTTCAAGACTTGGTAAGCTGGATAAAAAGCTATGCCTCTATTTTGGCTTTTTGCTACAGGAATAAAGTCCCACAACACAAATACCTCACAATGGAATTCTTTTTGTTCTCACCTTCATTCCCAAGGCATCTTCAAGATGATTACCAGTGAATAACGGGCTAAAACAATCTGTTACCTACTTTTCCTCTCATCGGCTGGTAAAAAAATCTGCACAGACTACACACAACAGTGCCAGCAGAAGAAAACACCTCTTGTTTCACTGAGACACTGCTAAATATAGATTTTACCAAACTGCTGGTTCCTGAGTTCATAGGACTCATTTCCACTGTTTCTCAGGGGCTCCTTCTCATCTCCCATGTCACTGTCCTTCATCTGTGCAAAATAGGCAGGAGGAGCTTTGCACTCGTAGTGCCTGTCCAGGGATTTCAGGTGGATGAGCATGTGCAGAGCATAGGCCAGGACCAGCAGCAGAATCAGGGACATCACCAAGCCCATCAGGATTGCTGGGGAGAAGAAGGATGCACAGTCCCTGGCATAGGCAAAATGTCCTTCTTGGATGTTAAAACCTTGAATCTACAGGGAGGACAAAAGGGGTCATGTTAAATAAAGTACCGGTGTTTCATTCATTTGTGTTTCATTAATTTGCTCCTGATGGCAGTGAGAATTTCTGACTTGAGACCTGCACAAATTTGTGTCTCCCACTGATAGCTGCAGCTAATGCTCAGAGTTTATCCAGGTCAGTCTCCTGAAACTCTTAGCTCTTCTAATCCCCTCCACTCTGCTGCCAAAAGGATTTTCAGCTGTGTTTCAAACAGAACTTTCCACCAAGACTCACTCTTGGTGGCTCAGAAATATTTAATTGCAGGCATGGTACCTTTCATGTTAACTGTGCATCTCCAGCATGACTGGCTGAGAGTCCCCAGAGTTTTTGCTTCAGACTGCACAAACTCCAACGTGACCAAGCAGGAAATATTCTCAAGTGCCTGCCCTAGGACAAGATTTTTGTCACCAGTTCCACATGGGTGGCACGTGGCAGCAAAACTACAGAAACTACAGAAAGCTGCACCAGTTATGGAAAACACCAACAGGTTTTATTCCTGGCCTCAGTTCTAATATGGATTTTAGCACTCTGCTGCACTAGATCAGTCCATGGACATTTTTCACACAGTGACAAAAAGTTTTTCCATTCCTTTTTCAGCTCCTCATGCCCCCTGACTCAGGTATCTAAATGCAAGGCACTCTAGTCCTGCCATCTTTGGCTCCCTCCTTGTCACACGCAGAAGAATTGGCACTTTCAGAAGATTATTAATCTCATCCTAAAATAAGGGCTTAAGATGGGTCAGGGGAATTATCCAGTGGCTTTAGAGGCAGGCCAGGGTGACTATAATCAGGGCAGAAGGTTAAAATTCCTAGGCAACAAAAGTGAAGTGAGATGAATCCCATGTCTGTTTGTCTGGTGCTGATATTGGTGCTGAGTGTGAGAGCTCAGCTCAAAATGATGTAATGACAAGAAATCAAATTCACTCACCACTAGAGGGAACACAAGCAGAAAGACTACAAAAAACAGCCTTGAATTTCCTTGGACAGGAAAAGTCTTAGTTTCTATTTTGTGCTCTGTGTGATGCCTTGGGATTTTAGCTTTTATAATTTCCATGTATTTGAGGTCCTGCAGTTCTTTAGTGTGTAACTCCAAACTCCACATTCAGTGTCAGCTGCTGCTGCCCCATTTTGGGCAGACACAACAATTCCTCTCCAGGCCTGGCAACCAAGGACACCTCACTGCCCCAGGGCCAGAAATGCAAAAAAAAGTGAGTTAGGGAAAGCAAACTGGGGGTAAATGACTTCATTAGTTGAAGCTGTAATTGCTAGATTAGCCCCATATGCAAACGGACCAAACATAAAAGTGTGAAAACTGTGACCCGTGGTCCATTTTAGGGTGTAGCCCCTGAGGGAGCTTTGTCTGCCCAAAATGTAACTGAAGGCCCTTCAATAAACATAGCAGCTTTTTATTCTATAAATTCTGTCTGGCCTCTGTTTTTAGGCAGCCCCAAAAAGGCATAAAAGGTCAAAATATTTTGTGGGTCTGACACAGGCCTGTCAGGCCAGGCCTGGAGCTGAGCCGGGCCTGTGTCCAGAGGCTGTGGGGACACAAATGGAGGCCACAGGGTCCATTTTCGGGTGTAGCCCCTGAGGGAGGGTTTTGCCTGCCCAGAATGTATCTGAAGCCCTTTCAATAAATATAACCACTTTTTATTTTCTTAATTTTGTTTGGCCTCTGTTTTTGGGTAGCCCAAAAAAACATCGCAAGGTGAGGCACAAATGTGTAAACTGCGCATGGAAGGTGATGGCTTTTCCCGAGAAAGCCAAAACCTCCCCTCAACCTATCCATGGGATCCACCTGTCTGAAATCCACGGCTGTTGAAGATTGCAATGCAAGATGTTTTCCATTGCCATCTGTAGGGCAGATTACCTTTGTCAAGTGGGCAGTTTGCCTTATCTCTCTGTTTGAGTGACCACAATCACTCCTCCCTCGGGAGGGGACATTGCTGATAACAGCCATGGAATGTCCCTGCATGGCTGATAAGAACTACAGCATCCCATTGGGAGATGTGAGCCCAGAGGGAGGAGCCAAGCATTGCTACCCAGATATAATCCAGAGGTTTGGAGACACCAGCACGGCTTCTGCACTGCATTCCCCAGAGGAGCAGCAGCTGCCTCTCCTTCCCCTGGATCTTCAGAGGAAGAACACATCCTTCTCTACAGATCCCCCTGGCTCCAGCAGAGCCACCCCTGACACTGCAGGAGGGCTGAGCCACAATTCCAATGGTTCTGCTGCCAACACCCTGACCCACAGGGTGTCAGGCTGGGTTCTGACTCTGTCAGTGTTGTTCTAGTGTACTGCATTGTTTATTTTATCCTTTTTTTTTTCCGTATTAAAGAACTGTTATTTCCTGCTCCCATATTTTTTGCCTGAGAGCCCCTTAATTTAAAATTTATAGCAACTCGGAGGGGTGAGGAGGGTTCACATTCTCCATTTCAGGGGAGGCTCCTGCCTTCCTTAGCAGACTCCTGTCTTTCCAAACCAAGACAATGGCATCACCTGGAAGTCGATGAAGGTGACCTCCCAGAGGTGGGAGAGGTCGTGCTCGGAGCTGGGCACCAGCAGAGCATCGTGTCTCTGCAGGCTGCTGACGCGCTGGCAGCGGAAGGAGTGGGCGGCGGGCGCGCGGATCCCCGAGGCGTTGAACGTCGCCTGCACCGAGTGGTTGTACAGCAGCTGCAGCCTCTGCAGGCTGAACCAGCTCTGCACCGACAGCTGGTAGTAGCTGGTGGTCAGCAGCAGCCTGGGGAGGCCGTGTTGGAGCAGGGAGGAGGGAGAAAATCAGTCAGATTTAACCGCGTTAAATTCGCGCAGCGAGCGACTCCGTCAGAGTCATTGGCATGACCAGTTTGTATCGGAATGATCAGAATTATGTGAGGTCTTGCCCCTTCCTTGGAGAAGGGAGGGACAGCTTTCCACAGAGGGTGGCAGAGCCCTGGAACAGCTGCCCAGGGAGGGCCTGGAGTGTCTGGAGACATCCCAGCCCCAGCTTCTGTGCCACTGTTCCAGGGGACCCTGTCTGGAGACAGGAATTGCACCAGATCATCTCCAGAGGTCTCTTCAGCCCCAAATACCCCCAAATACCCCAGGTTCCACCCCCAAATACCCCCAAATACCCCTAAATACCCCCAAATACTCCCAAATACCCAGGGTTCCAGCCCCAAATACCCTGGGATTCTGTGGTTTGAGGTTGTTCCCTGTGGCAGCGGAAGGAGTTTGGTTTCTCCCACAGAGCAGGAAGAATATGAGGGGATTTTGCCTCATTACTTGGAAAAAATATTAATGCAAAAACTGGTATTGTACCCCTCCCACCCGGTGTATATGGAAAGTCACTTCTCAAGAAATGCTGTTCTGTCAACAAGAAGCCAACGTAAAAGTGGGTCACAGTCTGATGCCCAGACCATTTTAGCTAAAATCTCAGACACAGGAAGATTCTACACAAAAGAGATGACCCAAACTTTTCCACGAGTAGAAAACTCAGTATAGGGAAAAAAAATGCCTTAATAAAACAAGTCAGGTGACAGACATGATGAATGCAGGTGTTTCAGTTATGCAAGAGTTTCTCTCACATTATTTTTGCTTAAATAAATTCTCTTTAATTCCCCACACAACTGCATAACAATGTATTTGTGTTATGTTATTATCTGGTAAGGATTTTATTATATAAACTTACCTGATAACAAGTCCCTTCAGATTCCCAATGTCACCAAACTTCAGGGAAAGCCTAGGTCAAAAAGCAAGTAACATCAGGCTAGGAAAAAAAAATTCAGAGACCTTCAGAGAAAAAAGCACCACAAAAGATTAAGCTCAGTTATACATTAAATTTTTTGCTCAGTCTACCCTTAAAGTCAGTGGGAAAAAAACTGAAAGGATTAAATCTTCATCTAATGAAATATACTCATTCACCTGCTGATAGGAATGAGGCCCAGACCATGCAGAAAGAATAGAAATCCGTGTTTAAATTCCAACAAAACTCAATCCCACTGCTTCCCACCCTAGCTGACAATTAGGCTCAGTGGATCTCCTCCTCCAGCCACCACATCTCAGTCAAGCATCACCCCTGCCTGTCATTAGAAAGTGCAAACAGACACCTAGTCCTCCTCTTTTTAAATATCAGAGCATGAAAGAAAGCAGAGGTGACAGCTTAGATTTAATAAAACGAAACAAACAAAAACCCAACAAAATATTTAAAAACAAACAAACAAACAAACAAAAAAACATCCAAAGCAAAAAACAGCTAGCCCCACAAGTTCCTAGGTGATCTAGACTTCTTGGGTAACACTGGCTCCCTAAGACAGGACACTGAATCCAGACCATCCCTTGCTTTATTACAAATCTAAGTCAGAGATAGTTGAGGATTACATACAGGTAAATGTGCTATTCAAGTAAAAATAAAACAGAAATGCAGCTTGGATTATTATATCTGATACCATTCCCTGTGTTTTGAAACCCTTAATTTTCCCTTAGTTTATTTTCTGTTAGAAAATAAACTCTGTTTATTTCTGTTAAAATACTTACTAATCAGACTAAGATTATTTTCAAATTGTAGACCAGAAGAGAGGGAGGAATGTTTGTTATCACTTTTTTCATCTTTAACATGAATTTATTCCATCCTCTACCTCTGCCTGTCAAAAGAGTGCTGGATAAGTTCACATGCTGACAATGTAATATTCAAACTGCCTTGCTGAATATTGTGATGCTGGGTTCTTTCTCAATTTCTCTTTTAGCTTTCTGGTAACCTCACTAAAATGTCTGTGCACCTTGTGCTGTAAAATCACAAAGAGGCAACACCTACTTTGTGATTGTACAGCACAAGGTGCACAGACATTTTTGGTAACCACAGACAAAAAGGTTACCAGAAAGTTAAAAGTGAAATTGAAAAAGAACCCTGTGCAGCACGGCTGGCGATCCCTTAGAATTTAACTTTTATATTTTTCATACATTGTGATCCTGCAGTTCTTTAGTGTGTAACTCCAAACTCCACATTCAGTGTCAGCTGCTGCTGCCCCATTTTGGGCAGACACAACAATTCCTCTCCAGGCCTGGCAACCAAGGACACCTCACTGCCCCAGGGCCAGAAATGCAAACAAAAGGGAGTTGGGTGGGCAAACTTGGGGTAAATGACTTCATTAGCTGAAGTTGTAATTGTTAGATTAACCCCCAATATGCAAATGGACCAAACTTATAAAAGTGTGAAAACTGTGACCTGTTTCCCCTTTTTGGGTGTAGCCCCTGAGGGAGGGTTTTGTCTGCCCAAAATGTACATGAAGCCCCTTCAATAAATAGAACTACTTTTAATAGCCTTCATTCTGTCTGCCCCTGTTTTTAGGTACTCCCAAAAACTCATCACTGGCACACACCCCTTGAAGGGAAAATTAGTCATGCACAGCACCTAAGCCCCACATTCAGCACAGGATCCCCTCTCCATCCCCACAAGCAGCTGTGTAAAACAGCTGGAGATGAAACAGACCAACAACTTCAGCCCTATGGGCACTGAGAGCAGAGCTGGCTGGCCAAGGAGGGGCCACAGCACTGCAAAAAGTGAGTATTGAGTGTACACAACAGGCTGGGCTTAAACTACACAACCCACAGTGGCAGGATATCATCAGAAAAACCTGGGCCTCTTGATGCCTTGGAGTGGCTGCCTAGAACAGGAGCTGGATAAGATCAAAAGAATAAAGTGGGTATTTATTAAAGGCCTTCAAAAGGTGCATCTTGGGCAGTCAGAAGCCTCCCAGAGGCTACACCCAAAATGGACAATGGACAATGGACATGAGTTTTTCACACAATTATAAATTTGATCAATTTGCATTTCAGGGGTTGATCCTCCAATTCCAGCTTCAGGTAATGAAGTCATTTACCCCCAGTTTGCTCCCCAACAATTCACTTTTGTTTGTACTTTCAGGGCCTGAAGCTGTAGGGTGTTGTCCTGGATAGCCAAGCAAATTGTGTTCTATTTACCATCTGCATGGCAGCTTTCCTTTCCTTATCTCTTCCACAACTGGGGAGACATCTGATAAGAGGCCATTGAATGTCCCTGCATGGCTGATAAGAACTACAGCATCCCATTGGGAGATGTGAGCCCAGAGGGAGGAGCCAAGGATTCCTACCCGGATATAATCCAGAGGTTTGGAGACACCAGCACGGCTTCTGCACTGGATTCCCCAGAGGAACAGCAGCTGCCTCTCCTTCCCCTGGATCCTCAGAGGCAGAGACTGCACCTTTCTCCAGGATCCCTGTTCCAGCAGAACCAGCCCTGGCACTGCAGGAGGGCTGAGCCACAATTCCAATGGTTCTGCTGCCAACAGCCTGACCCACAGGGTGTCAGGCTGGGTTCTGACTCTGGCAGTGTTGGTTTGGTGTATTGCATTCGTTATTTTATCTTTTTATTTTCTTCCCTATTAAATAACTGCAATTTCCTGCTCCCATATCTTTGCCTGAGAGCCCCTTAATTTAAATTTACAGTAATTCAAGGGGAGGGGGTTTGCATTTTCCATTTCAGGGGAGGCTCCTGCCTTCCTTAACAGACACCTGTCTGTTCACACCAAGACAGGTGTCCTTGAGTGTCGCAGACATCTTTTATGGAAAAATCCCTTCCTTAGGATTTTTCCTCCTGAGAAGCTGAGAGGCCTCAGGAACAAAATGCAAACAATGGTTATCTGCTGCTGTGGAATGCAACAGGTGCATCTGGGATTGGCTCATGTGGTTGTTTGTAATTAATGGCCAATCACAGTCAGCTGGCTCAGACAGAGAGCCGAGCCACAAACCTTTGTTATCATTCTTTCTGATTCTATTTTTAGCCAGCCTTCTGATGAAATCCTTTCTTCTATTCTTTTAGTACAGTTTTAATGTAATATATATCATAAAATAATAAATCAAGCCTTCTGAAACATGGAGTCAGATCCTCCTGTCTTCCCTCATCCCGGGACCCCTGTGAACACGGTCACACTTCAATTTCAGAGGAATTGTGTTGTCTGACCAAAACGTGAAGACAGCAACCAACACTCTGTATGGAGCTTAGAGTTATACCTTGAAGCAGCACAGGATTTGACAAATGAAACAGCTAAAACCCTAAGGCTCCACTCCCATATTCACTCCCCAGAGTGGCTGCCTGCCCCCAGCTCCCCCAGCAGAGCAGAATTCCCCTTACATGGCACTGTCCTCGCTGCAGTTTGAGTCCCCAACATCCACGGTGGCATGGGCTCCAAAGGTCCTGTCTGTCAAATCCAGCTGGGTGTGGTTCTCCATCCTGATCAGGATCCTCCTGGCCCAGAACAGGATGCAGGGGGTGCCGTTGATGGTGACGTTCAGGGGGCTGCAGTGGCTGTGGGGGAGCCCAGGGTGGCTCCAGGGTGCTCCTTGCCACTGTCCCCCCCTGCTTGAGTTGTAGCTGACAGCCTGAGGGGCCACACAAGAGATTTCTGTCAGAAGATGTGCATGGAAAGTGCCTGTTTTGTGATTGGCTTTTGGCAAATACTAAAATGAATATTGTATGTGTTATGTTTGAAAGTAATGCTGTATTCATGCCCTTAAGTAGTGTGTTAAATATAGTTTTAGGTTACAACAAAATGTTAAAATAGAAACTGTGCTATGTAAGATACTTTTTCTAAAGAAAGGACTGGCACTGAGATAGCAGCCACAGGACACCTGAATCTTTCAGAGAAAGGGAATTTATTGCTCCATTATCAGAACAAATGAACTTCTTCCTGCCTCACTCAGCCCTGAAGAGCTGTCAGGATTCAGAGGAAGCAGCTGACACTGCCCAGACAGAATCCTGTGTTGGAATGGAATTGATGCATCATGGATGAGGTGTATGAATATGCAACAGGCTGTTGCTTTTAAGGGTTAATCCTCTGTTAATGTGGGTCCTTTTTGGGGCTTCTGCTGCCCAGAAAGAGGTACCCGGACCATCTGTAACTCTTTGTTTTCATTATCTGATATTGTCCTAAATCCTAATTGTCCAAAATATTATTACTCTAATTATATTGCTATTTTTAAAACAATTTTATTACCATTAAACTTTTAAGATTTTAAAAACAAGTGATTGGTATTTTTCACAACGTGGATTCAGGAGTCACCAGAACTCGTGAGCCAGCCCTGGTCTGAGCAAGCAGAGGCATTCCTGGCTGTTTCCCCTTCCCACCATGGGGATGGCACCTCACAGAGCACCCAGCTCCAGCACAGAAGTTGCCCCCTCAGCTGCAGATTCTCTACAGCACCTCTAAAAATTGCTTCAGCCCACTGGAAAGGACTCAGGTTGTGCCAAGGACGCAGCCCACCACGCTGGAAGCACACTGGGCAGCTGGACATGCGAGAGAAATTTCTGTATTTAACCTACCTGCAGGCAGCTTGGCTCACCATGGCTTCCAATCAGGGAAATACCTGCTGCAGAATGGGATGGATCAGGTAGGGACCCCAACCTTTACAAAATCAGGACTAAGACCCAGGGACTGCAGCTTCCATGTCCTCTGCACACACCAGGAAACTGCCATCCCTTGTGTGCCTAATTTCATAGCCAAATTTCAATTTTCAAAAAGACAATTCAGCTGCCAGGCAAGACAATTTGACTTAGGGCTCAGGAAGAACTAAAAAAATTAAATGCCATTCTCAAATTTCACCCTCAGATTTCCGGTGACCACCTCTGTCCTATCCAAATAAGATAACACACATAATGTGTGTTTTTACCATGTCTAATGATTGCAAGTTCACACTAAAACAGGAAAGGTTTCCTGAGTCCAGTCATAAACAGCATCTCACCAGGCTCCAGAAGGGACACAGTTAAGCCCCAAGGTTTGGTCTTGGCTTAAAGAGAGATATTTTGTGTGTGTGCTGTTTACATCAGCAAATCATAACTCTCAGCTCGAACCCTGAAAGATCCCTTTTGATACTGGACCTTACATATGGCACAGGGGTGTTTTAGGATTAAAACTAACAAGCACTGACAGCAACAAGCTGAAAGCAAAGCAAGAAGATGGTCAGAAAATGTGCTGAGTGGGTTTGAGTGTATTCATATAAATGGCAGGGCTGTCTCCTCAGAAGTCCACATGAGAGAGATTTATTCAATGTGTTCCCGACATTGGACAGCATCATTTTTGGTAAGGAAGCTTTAATGCTCAGGTTTTGACAAGACCTACAGCCTGGTCTCAGGTAAAAAGCTCCCACTAAAAATATGAAGTTTTGCTCCTGCTCTTCCTTCAGGACCAGCTGAAATGAGAACAGGACTGGTGAAATCCCATTGTGCAGAACGTGGATATAAGGATTTTGTCCCAAAACCATGGCCAGCCAGCACCAGCAACAGCACCTGTGCTGTCCCTGCAGTCCTCAGAAAAGCAGAGAATAGTGGTACAAGTGGTGAGGCAGAATTGTACCACAATGTTTTACAGGGTTTTCTTGGCTGCTGTTTCTTGTAAACAAAGTAAATCCAATTTAATTCAGCATTGTAGTTAAATTGGAAGACCTAAATGTGCTGTGAAAAGACTTCACAGATCCAGCCCTCCAGGCATTACCTGTGCAATTGTCTCCTGATTGACATTAAACTTTGGTTTCACACGACCATTGTAATGCTGACCTGCAGAAGGAGGAGTGTTACTTCATTATTAGCATGTTATAAACACACATTCATAAACACATTTATAAAAACACACATCTATGAAATTTTGCATGTTCCTATGCAAATAATAATTATCTCTGCACAAAATACGTATGTCAGAATTACTGCTTTTGCCTTGGAAAATGCTTGACTGGCAGCAAATTCTGCCTTCACTACATGTATTTTCTAATTTGCCTTTCTTGTTCACCAAAGCTCCTCTTGTTTTCATTGGAGACCTCGTCACCCTCACTGGGAGGAACTCCAGTGCCCCAAAATTACAGGAATCAGTCTAAATCTGTGTTTATTCGTCTCAAACACATTAAAAGCTGCTTTTTTTTTTTTTTTTTTTTTCCTCCATGCAGCAAATTCCTCAAAGGGTACGTGCTGAGCAGCCTGGCAAAAGTGTGATAACTGTGCTGGGAACTGTCTCCCTGCACTGCCAGGGACAGGGAGCTGTGACAAATGTCCTGACATCCCAACCCCGAAGTTTCACAAGCACCGATCATTTCATGGGCACTCTCACAGCCCCGTCCTTCCAGCACTTAACTGTGTTTTAAAAACTTGGCTTAAAAAAAGGGTGAATGATTTTGCCTTCCACATTCTCACTGCATCTCAGAGTTGGACAGTGAATTGTTATTTTAACAGGAAGATCGTTTTTAAGGGTGTTTTTAAAGAGGGTTATGCTTTAACAAAACATGTGACAGAAGAGTCTCCAACATCTGGGAATGAAATTAAATCTTCTACAGCCACAATAACAGAAGCAGCATCCAGGGATTCAGCCCACCAAAAGCCTTACCAACTCTCTGGAGAGAATCTTGATCTGAAAACTCGTGTGAACTAGGAGAGAAGAGAAAAAATATTTATTGTGCAGCACCTGAATGCAAAGTCTGCAGCAAAGTTTAGTGGGGAAATCTGCGGCTGCTTCACTCCACAGGACATTCCAAAGGCAGCTCAGGTCCTTGGCTGGTGGAGGCCACAGGAACAGGGCAAAATATCCCAAAGCTGCTGTGTCCTGGCTAAAACTGTCTCATTTTCAGGGATCATTCAGCTGGAGCAGCCCATGTCCTTACCACGCTGTCCCATTATGGAGGGGCTGGGCAAAGCTGAGTTAATAGAAGAAATAACAATTGATGATTTTTGAGTCTATCCATAGAAAGGAAGAAGACAAGGCCATCAGCATGGAAACAGATTAGAAAAGATACATGAGAAGTTTTGTAAGCTAGACTACGTGCATAAGTACATGTATATACGTTATTAAATTTCTGTATTAAATTTCTGTAATTATTTTTGTATTACTTTGTATTATCTTATTAAATTTCTGTATTTTTTGCCAATTATACTGACATTAATTGCTCTGCACCAATGAATATAATCAGTTATTGTGATGTAGTTAATGACTTAACATGATGCTTTATTAAGAGTATATAAGCTGGAGAACACGCTGAATAAAAATCTTTTTTCTTCTTAGATCCTGATCACGTGCGTGTGTCACGTCTGACCTAACAGTGACATCTCATCCCATGGGATGTCAGTCTTGGGGTGTGTTGGGAAGGATGAAAGTTTGACAGGAAAGTCTCACAGATATGTGTGTGCTTGGCAGAAAGATTTTTTAATGTAGAATCTGATGCAGGAATAGAGATGGAAGCAAGTTTTGATATAGAAGAAAAGAATTGCTGAGCCAGCCTCACTGCATAACCAAGGAGGCAAAGGGTGTGTGAGTTAGAAGGGGTTTTATGGCTCAGAGCAAAGGATAAACCCACCCCAAACAAGAAGATGTTTTTACCAAGCACAAAGAGAGCACAGGCAAACAAGGCAGCAAATGGGGCAAGCAGAAAAAAGGTCTCAGAATTTTCCACTGCAAGAAAACTGAAAAACAACTTCTGGCTTAAACTGTGATGTACTGACTGTGAGTGATTGGAGAACAGTGACATGAATATGGTAATTACAGTAGTTATGATGGGCTATAGATAATAGTTAAGGTATAGATTGGTTCTGCTGTATGAAGATGCTCAGCAAAGAAAAGTCTATAATGAATTGTGACCAAAAGAAAACTATATAATGCACTGTGACCAAACCCAAAGGGTCTCCAGGCCTGCCTGCAGCTGGAGCTGACAGCTGTGGGCACAGCTCTGTCCCCATGACCCTGGGCTGCTGTAATGCCTTGGATGGAACAAACTGCATTTGGAGAGCCCCTGCAGGCCCACATCCCTCATTCAGGCTCTCACAGTTCCAGGCAATTATAAGTCCCATGGGAGTCACTGCAAGGCTGGGCTCAGGTGAGGCACATCTCAAGTGACAGCCACCAGGCTCGTGAATTTGACAGCATTTCATTTTCTTCTGAGGCATAAGTCTTCAGCTGGTGTCAGCACAATCAGTGTGGGAATCCACAGAATCAGAGGGTTTTGGGAAAGCTGCAAAAGGCAGGCCCCAGAGACAGCAGAACTGGGATTGGAGCTAAGCAGCAGCCATGAGATTGGTCAGCAGAAAAATTGTTTAAAAAGTAGAAAAGGACAAATAGAACAACGGTCTGTGTATTAATGCTTGTCTAGAATAACTCCCTAAGCTACAGAAAGTTTATCTAGCAAGATATTAGGAAGTTAAAGCTTAATAATGGAGCTCTGTGCATTGTGTTTGAAGGCTCACAAGCAGGTATTGTATTTGAAATAAGCAAGCACTGTTTAACCACAGGTACCTGTGCTTATAGTGATTGGACAGAACTACTGTCAATATAGAATATTTACTGTACAGATATAAACACTGTCAATGTGCTTTGGCTTTGTGGGATTGGGCAAAAAACTCCTAGAGTGAGTTGTGACATTGAGTTCTGTGTCTGCTGCCTGGGATGTGAGCTGGTGGCATCTTCCCATTGCCATGGCCTTGGAATGGGGCTGATGCTGGGAAATCAAACAGCTCCAGGCACGTTCCCAGCAGCCCTGTCCTGTTTGGGGTTTGTGCACAGACCCCAGCCAGGGATAAATCAGTTTTCCCCAGCCAGAGACTCAGCCCAGTGGATTCACAAACTCCAACAAACACCTAAAGATCAGAGCCCAGGACACCCGGACTCCCTCAGGACCAGAATCCCCGCCATGAGTCCATGGATACTTTCCACATGCCAGCACCTTCCTTGGGACTGCATCCCCCTCAGTGGATGGATTTGCTCCTGTGATGCCTCTGTCTCCTTCCCCAAGGCTTCCATCATCAGAATTCCCACTTTCCCAGCTGTGGTGGTGTTCACAGGGGTCTCAGGTTGAGGGAAGAGATGAGGATCTGACTCCATGTTTCAGAAGGCTGATTTATTATTTTATGATATATATTACATTAAAACTGTACTGAAAGAATAGAAGAAAGGATTTCATCAGAAGGCTGGCTAAGAATAGAATAATAAGGAATGGTAACAAAGGTTTGTGGCTCGGCTCTCTGTCTGAGCCAGCTGACTGTGATTGGCCATTAATTAGAAACAACCACATGAGGCCAATCCCAGATGCACCTGTTGCATCCCACAGCAGCAGATAACCATTGTTTGCATTTTGTTCCTGAGGCTTCTCAGCTTCTCAGGAGGAAAAATCCTAAGGAAAGGGTTTTTCATAAAAGATGTCTGTGACACCCAGCTGAGCACCAGCCCACAAACCCTGCACACCCTGCCCTTGGTGCCCTCCAGACCTGCTTCACCTTCCCAATGGAAACACACTTCCATCTTCCTCCCTCACCCCGTTTGTCACCATCCTTCCAAACCTCCGCAGCAGAAAAAAAAAAAAAAAGAAAAAAAAAAAGTGGAAATATTTACACCAAGATATCAGGAATTAGAGCAGTTTCAGTGTTTATGTGCAAACTTCACCACGGGTGCATTGCTGGGATGGCAGAGTCAGGGCTTGGCTGTCCTGGGCAGTGCTGGGGCACAGGGTGAGCCCTCCTCAGGTGGGTTCTGGGCAGGGGATCTGTGTGTGACCCCCTGGCACACACAGCAGGAGGGATCCCAACCCAATCCCCATCACAGCATCCTCAAGGGCAGATGAATGGCACAGCCTGGAGCCCACCCTGCTTGCCCACCCCGAAAGAACTTTTTATAAAGATCTTACACTCAGAAAAGTTCAGCTCTGTCCAATTATTTGGACAGCTGAACTTTTATCTGGCAGGTTTTTTTACATAATAATTTTTATCTGGTTATGTTATTTACATATGGAGAGGCTGACTTTGTCCTCGGCTGCTGCTCTGAAACCCCAGTGGCTTCAAGAAGCATTTTCTGCTTTTTGCTGCTTCTTCTTCTGCTGCTTTTTGGGTGGCAGGATTAGTGCTGGCCTGGGGTCCTCAGATATTCATGTTTTCATGCCAACAGCAGAGATGGGTAGAAATATTCAGATTTTGACACGCAGGTAACAGAAGATGTGGCTACAATGGACCAAAATTTGTTTTCTTGCTTAAACAGAGCCCTCTCTCAGGCTGCTTTACAGTCAGGAACGTGGGTCCTGCAATTTGATGTAGCTTTTTTTCAACTTTTCCAGTATTTCTTCGTGACAGATCAGGCTGAAAAAGGTAATTTGGGGGAGCGTTCTTTTTTCATGGTGATGCCTACAAAATTAGGGCACGGCAAAACCATATCAATGCACATTATTTAGTTATACTGACTTTAGCTGTACTTAGTTGCAGATATATATATATATCTAGTTCTGCTTAGTTATATTTTAGCTCCTCTCCATAATTAAACACTATTTGCATATATGCATAATTAAGCACTCATAGCCATTTACTTCAGCTTGGAAATCACCACCTGGACTAAAACGTTGGTGTTGGAAGAAGAATGGTGTAAAACCGTGCAATTCCTTCTATTCCCTGACAGGTTTCCATGCTGTTAATGGAGGAGGAAAGGTTAATTCTGTTTTTTTGTGACTGTCCATTAAGAAAAAGGAATCCTGGCTCCTCCACAGCCACCGTGGGAGAGATGTCACATCTCTGCTTTCAGCATGAAGGCACTCAAACAGAGATGAATGTGCACAGCTGGTGAAATATTCATGTTTTCATGGGGAATGCAGAGCAGAGGGTGACCCAGGAGCCACCACAGACCCGTGAACATGCTCAGCACTGAGAGGAATGGTGGATTTGTCTTTCCAGACAAGCTGTGGGTCTGCTGGTGGATAAAACCAGCACTGGGAGAGAAAAGCAACAATGGGAGGGATTCCACTGATTGGTGAATGGAAAAAGAGATTTGCTTTTACTAATAAACTTTAGGTTTGCTGAGAAGTGAAATTAGACATTGAAAGGTGAAAGAAACAGTGGGGAAGAAGAACCCCTGAATTCTGTAAGAATTAAAAATGTAAAGGGAGGGTTGTACATTAGAGGGAAATCTTTGGGATCAGGTGTTCTGGGAAGTCTGAACCTCTCAAGTGTCTCAGAAATGGGGAAAGAGAGAAGGGAAATGTGGCTGGGAAATTGGGATAAAAAGGAGGCTGCATCCTCCAAAAATGGGAGAGACCCCAGGGGAATGGCCCATGGCCTCTGCCTTTATTGGAATAAAGTAAAGGACTCCTCTGCCTCCTTTTTGGACGTAAACCTCTGGTGTTTGTGGGTGGATTTTCCTGACAGCCCCGTTCGTTCCAGGCACAGAGAGGGAGGCGCCTCCAGCCAGGCCCTCCTGCTAATTACCCTGTTAATGAGCAGCGCTGGCTGCCTGCTCTCGTCTTGCAGGAGGCAAGCAGGGCCAGCAGGAAGGGAAATCCATCACTGCCCAGGGCACAGCCAGGCTGGCACACAGGGACAATCCCAGCCTGGTTTTGGGGCAGGCACGGCAGGGTGCCAAAACTGCAGCTTTTCCACCCAAAAAGGCCAGCTGGGGAATCCACAGGCAGCAGAGCCCTGTGGGGCTCAGCTGGAGCATGTCCCCGTGGGAATTAAAGTATTCACAGTGAGAAAAGGGAAAACAACTACATGCTAAAAAAATATGTATTCCCTTTTGATTATAAAAATGGTAATTACATGTGTAAGAGAAAATAAAGTAGCCAGCACTAGAGCGTTCTCCACAGCAGATAATTTGAAGCACTTTGAGTTATAGACCCTTTTATCAGCCTCTCTTAGTATGAAATTTCAGATTCACTTGATCACAAGTGGAGCATGTTTTGATGGGCCACATTTCCCCTTGCCCATTGGTAAACAGCTCTCCCAGGTGCACCCAGGCACGTGTGTTGTACCTTGAGTTTACCACACCAAGCATGTTAGGAACCCACATGAAATTGGATTAGCCCTAATCCAAAGCACTGGAATGACTAATCACTATGCAAAACCCAATTAAATGGGATTATAAGCACAAAGAAGTGTAAATTTCCTCTTATGAGATGACATTATCCATCTACGTAAGATAACCAAGTTGGGCTTGTTTGTGTGCAGAGGTTGATAAACACTGCAGGTCTTGAGGACTAAACAGCATTTTCTGCACTCAAATAACCACATGGATAATCCTGGCACTCAGGATTGAGTGTGGGGGCCACAGGCAACCTTCATGCCTTGTCCACACTCCTACTCCTCATATCACTGCTCTGATAAACTGCATCAGATGGGGAAATGCACTCTGCACCTACAGAAACATTCTGTGTTTGAAATTACAGAAATTTAAAATTTTCTGTGTTTCCATTAGTTCAGGGTCGTCTCCCTAAGACTGGCAATCTCCAGCTGCAGAATTCCTCACTGGCTGCTGAACTGGTTACAGCCAGTTTAGGAAAATCACATGTGAACCTCTGAAATGCGCTGAAAATAAAATTGTGAGAGGTGAGGAGCACGTGGGGGCAATGCACTGCTTGTGGTCCTAGGGACACTCAACATAAGGAATTGCAGTGAAGTTATTAATGCCATAAATGTGTAAGTTTGGAGAGACCAGATTCAAGGAAAGAGCTGGCTCCTTCTAAGAAACATCCTGACAAAAAACATCACTGACTTTTAAATGCCTCTGTGTAAGTTCTATCAATGAGAAATATCTAGAAACCCACAACTCCTCTGGTTTTTTGATGTGTGATTTAACAGAGGGAAACAGATTTCCATAAATGTTTTACAAAGCACTGATTACTGGTGCTGATTTGCAACTTAAGGGATGTCCAACAAGGTCTGGATCAGAGCAAGGTGATACTCAAGCTTCCATTTTTAACACAAAAAGAGAAACTGAGCTCAGAAAACTTCCAGCAAAATTACACTGGAATTACACTGGACTGCAGGCACAGTCCCACTCCCAAGGAGGCAGAATTCCCGTTTGATTCACTGGCATCAAGATCATGACTTCATCTGTTAATATTTATTGCAATACAGTTCAGGAAATGCCCCACTGCTTGTTATCTGTCAGATTTTGGTCTGACTGAAAGACAAAGTGAAATTATCTAAGAAGAGCAGAAAGAAATCAGAGAGCTGGCAGAGGAGAGCAGCAAGTAAGCTGTTTAATGAAAACATATTGTAGCATTTATCAGTAACTGGCTACCAGATCTCTTAATACAAGCTTAGGCAAATCACCACACGTCCCTCTGGCCTCAAATGCACAGATTTTACTGGCAGCTGCGACCCTCACCAGCACGTTGGCTCTGTGGTTTTGTCTCTGTTTCTGGTGACTTTGGGCATCACTCAGCTCACACAGCTCAGGCTGTTTTCACTTTCCCAGTGCTTGGCTCCACAAAGTCCCCTCTTCCCCCTGCTGTGGTCTGGGCTCACTGTTTGTGTTTCACCAGAGGGTGAAACAGCACCACCAAAAATAAACCCAAACCTCCAGTAATTTTTTAAGTACTTGCAATATTGTATTCACACTTCAGATATTCCACGCAAGCAGAATATTTCCGTGCCTGTGTTTCTCGGAGTAGTTTTCACACCCTTGCTGTTGTGCTATTTGTAACTCCCTAAAATCAGCGTGGGAGTCAATAAAACACAAATTAAACCCAGGACAGATGCACAGAAAGCACCCGATTTTAAACAACGTTCACAAAATTCTTTCAAAGTTACATCTCCAACGCACCGCCTGCTTCAAAATAATTAATATTTTAATAAAATATATTGTATTAATTTATATATATAAATTTATAATATATATAAAATTATAATATATAAAAATTTATAATATATATAAATTTATAATATATATAAATTTATAACATAGAAAAATTGATAATATAGAAAAATTTATAATATAGAAAAATTTATAATATAGAAAAATTTATAATATAGAAAATTTTATATATATATATATATATATATATATATATATATATATATATATATATATAAGTTTATAATATATGTTTATTTATAATAAAATATATTTTTTAATAAAAAACAATAACACCCTGCAATAGCCCGCGGTGTTTTCAAACCTTGAAGGGAAAGCAGAGCCACGTCCTGGCGTTCTGCACGAAGGACAGAATTGGAAAAAGCCTGCGCTCCGGGTACCGACCTGTTCGCGGCGGGGCTTCGCTCCTCGGAGCGGCCGAGCGCGGCCAGCAGCAGCAGCAGGAGCCGCAGGGCAGCGATCCGGTCCATGGGGCGGCCAGGAGCCGCTGCCCGCCCGGCACAGCAGCGCCGGCTCCGGGGGCGGGACAGCGCCGGGGGCGGCGGCTGCGGGCGGAGCTGATGCTGCATCTCCATCCCCGCTGCATCCCCGCTCCATCCCCGCTGCATCCGCGTCCTGTCCCTCGATCCATCCCCGCCTCATCCTGCTCTGTCCCTGCTCCATCCTCCCTCCATCCCTGACTCCATCCCCGGCTCCATCCCTCGCTCCATCCCCGGCTCCATCCTCGGCTCCATTCCCGCTCCATCCCCGCTCCATCCCTCGCTCCATCCCTGGCTCCATCCCCAGCTCCATCCCCACTCCAAACCCGCTCCATCCCCACTCCATCCCTGGCTCCATCCCCAGCTCCATCCCCAGCTCCATCCCCGCTCCATCCCCGCTCCATCCTCGGCTCCATCCCCGCTCCATCCTTGGCTCCATCCCCGGCTCCATCCCCAGCTCCATCCCCGCTCCATCCTCGGCTCCATCCCCTGCTGCATTCCCACTCCATCCCCAGCTCCATCCCCTCTCCATCCTTGACCCATCCCCACTCCATCCCCGCTCCATCTCCTGCCTCATCCCCGCTCTATCTCCGCTTAATCTCCATCCCAGATCTATCCCCACTCCATCCCCGGGTTGATCCCCAGCTCCATTCCCGCTCCATCCCCAGCTCCATTCCCGCTCCATCCCTGGCTCCATTCCCTCTCTCCATCCCTTGCTCCATTCCTGGCTCCATCCCCTGCCTCACCCTCCCTCCATCCCCAGCTCCACCCCCGGCTCCATCCCCCTTTCATCTCCTGCCTCCATCCCCGCTCCATCCTCGCTCCCATCCCTGCTCCCATCCCCTCTCCATCCCCGCTCCATCCCTGTTCCATCTCCATCCCTGCCTCATCCCCAGGGTTATTCCCAGCTCCATCCCAGCTCCATCTCGGCACCATCCCCGCTCCATTCCCTGTCCTATCCCCGCTCCATCCCCGCTCCTTCCTTGACCCATCCCCACTCCATTGCCTGTCCTATCCCCGCTCCATCCCCGCTCCAGTCGCACGGACACCGCACTCCGTGTGCTCCCCTGTGCACCTCCCAGGTATCTCCTGAAGCCATGATCACAGTCTGGGGAAATTGCCCCCGGGTGAGAGCTGCTTGCTCGGGGTGGGGGAAGAGGGAACAGGATCAGAGGGCTCCAAAATCACACTGAAGGTCACTTCCCATGTGCGCTCAACCCCAGCCTTGAAGGGAGGCGAGAGTGATGTTCAGGAGCAGCTCTGGAATTTCTCCTTCTGTTCACAGAAAGAATTGTGCACATTCTGAAGTCTTATTGTATCTTATGTCACCTACAGATAAAAGAGATGAGATAGATGTTAATGTTAAATGATAGATCTTGTGTTAAATATCTCCACCTAACTGATGTGAAAGCAAGGCACTGCAAGCTTTGGAACCAAATATTTGGAAGCAGTTTCCTTTCCTCGGCACTAAGGTAGTTCATGCGTGTCCAGGTTCTTGTTGAGCAATTGTTTTGGTGCTTTGAATTCTAAAATTACTGAGTGGTTTGGGTTGGGAGGGATCTTAAAAATCACCCAGTGCCACCCCTGCCATGCCAGGGACACCTCGCAGTGTCCCAGTGTCCAGCCTGGCCTTGGGCAGTGCCAGGGATGCAGGGGCAGCCCCAGCTGCTCTGGGCACCCTGTGCCAGGGCCTGCCCACCCTGCCAGGGAACAATTCCTCATTGCCAAGATCCCAGCCAGCCCTGCCCTCTGGCACTGGGAAGCTCTAGGCCAGGCCACAGCTGTGAAATGCCCACAGAATTGCAGTTTGGTGTTTCAGATCAATGCCGGGGTCTCTGCTGCTCACAGTGACCCCAAGATGTGTTAGAGAGTCTCTTTTCCCAGCCTGGCACTCAAAGAAGCAGTCAGAGCTCTTCATTTCTCGGTCTCAAGGTTGTTTATTGTTCCTTTTCTATAAAATTCTTTCTCCTGCCCTGCCCAGGTCTGCTCAGCAGGACAGTCAGAGGCACTCTGCCTGCCCCAGGGCAGGGTTATCTTTTTATACTAAAAACTACCTGTGCAATATTTACAGTTACTTTCCAATACCTGTCACCTGTGTTAGACACTGAGCTTCTACTCTAAACCAATCCAAAAGTGCCAACATCACCCAGGAGATGGAGGCCAAGAAGAAGAAGGAGAAAGGCTGGACATGCCCAGATCCCTCCATCTTGCCCCCTGAACCCCCATTCTAAAAACCCCAAAATCTACTTTTTCACCTGTGATAAATTCACTGTCATTCTGCTTAATTTGTTGTGGCTTGCAGATCTTCCTCTAAGGTTGGTAACTTGCCCCATGGGTCACAATCAAACCCACAGGGGCATCCTGGGCTCTGTGCCAGGGTCTCTGAGCCCCCTGGCAGGGTCTGGGCTGCTCAGGACAGACAGAGGGATGTCTGGGTGCTGACAGATCAAGACACCAAAGCCCCCCCACATCACTGTGACTGCAGGGGTTGCCTCTCTCTGGGTCATCCTCAAGAGATTTGTGGGTCAGACACACTGGGAGCCCTAAGAATCACAGAGTCATAGAATGGCTTGCGCTGGAAGGGACCTTAGAGGTCATTTAGCTCCAAAATCTGTAAGAGCCTGAATGAGGGATGTGGGACTGCAGGGGCTCTCCAAAATGCAGTTTGCTCCATCCAAGAGGTCACAGCAGCCCAGGGCTGTGGGTGACAGAGCTGTGCCCACAGCTGTCAGCTCCAGCTGCAGGCAGGCCTGGACACCCTTTGGGTTTGGTTACAGTGCATTCTAGACTTCTCTTTGCTGAGCATCTTCATACAGCAGAACCAATCTATCCCTTAACTATTATCTACAGCCCATCATAACTACTGTAATTACCATATTCATGTCACTGATCTCCAGTCACTAACAGTCAGTACATCACAGTTTAAGCCAGAAGTTGTTTTTCAGTTTTCTTGCAGTGGAAAATTCTGAGACCTTTTTTCTGCTTGCAACTTTGCTGCCTTGTTTGCCTGTGCTCTCTTTGTGCTTGGTAAAAACATCTTCTTGTTTGGGGTGGGTTTATCCTTTGCTCTAAGCCATAAAAACCCCTTCTAACTCACACACCCTTTGCCTCGGTTATCCAGTGAGACTGGCTCAGCAATTCTTTTCTTCTATATCAAAACTTGCTTCCATCTCTGTTCCTTCATCAGCCTCTACATTTAAAAATCTTTCTGCCAAGCATACACATACCTGTGAGACTTTCTTGTCAAACTTTCTCCCTTCCCAACAAAAATCCTTAAATATCAGGCAGGACACAGCCATAGACCAACCTGCAGGCATCAGACACCCAGTCCTGCCCTGCTACCTGCTGATGGCACCACCAGTGAAGCTTCACTTGGCTGATTAGGAGCTCCTGCCTGTGGCACTCCAGATATTGGAGAATGATGGGGGCTTTAGCATTGTAATAATTAAAAAGGATTTGCCATCTTAATTCATTTCTCCTTCTGGGATGCAGAGGGTATCTGCTCATCTGAGAAATCCCCCAACAGCTTGTCCTCAGTTGAGCGGCTTCTATCCAATTTAAGGAGGAGTAAAGATGCTTATGTGACAATCCCAGATTGAAAAATGAGATGAGGGAATGTAGGATTAAGCAAAAACCACTTGAAGACAACCCCTAAATTTTCTGAGAAGCACCAGCAATGCATGATGCTGAAGTTAGAGCAATTACACCAGAACGGACGCAGGGCTCAGTTAAAAAATCTAAGCAGCCCAGGGAATGGACAGAAGTGTCACACGCTTTTCTAAACACTGTGAGGTCACTAATGCCACTGCCCAATGCCTCAGCACTGCTGGCTCCTAAACAAATGGAGGGAAAGGCACAGAGAGGCTTCCTGGTGGTGCCTGGAGATCTGATCCACGTGCATCCACTTCCCAAGCATTCCTCATCCACTTGGAAGTAGAAGGTAAGAAATAAAAAACTCTGAAACACAAACCAGCAGAGGCCAAAAGAAGGGAAAAAAAAAGTGTTCTTTCAGGGCAGAGGAAGTGAAAGAAAGTGGCACAAACAATAACCTGGCAGGCCACAGGTAAAGTCAGCACAGGCTGAGCCCCAGATGATGCTCTGTGACAGCTGAATGCACCTTTAACTGCATTTCCACCCCCTGTGTTTCTATTTATCAATTTATCAATACCTGCTTTCTTGGACCACCATTTCACACCAGAAAAAATATTGCCAATTTGCCCAGAAAAAATGGGGAGATTGCAGACAACCCAGGAAACAACTAACACCAAACTGCCAGCATAGGTTAAACCAGAATAAATCAGTGAAAATATCCTGTCTCGCTTTATATTAATGCTAGGGGTACTGATAATAAATCAGTAATCAGCAATCAACTGGAATATTGGTGAAGCAAAGAGCAAGAGTAAAAGCCTTTTCTCACCCCTTGACTCTTGCTGATAGCAGCAACAAATCAACATTTCTTTAAAAATGCTGCTTTTTCATGAGGTTCAAGCATAAACAAATACACTTGGTACCTGAAAAGATATTAGGTCCTCATTCTGGTGAAGAATGATGACAAAATCAGCATCTCAGAGTTACTGGGGTGTGTAAGAAATTCAGAATAGAGCCTTGCACGCAGCAGTGCTGACAAGGGCGTGGTTAGGGGAGCTCCTGTGATTCCTTTTTTGAATTGCTGTAACACTTTTGCCTGGTTTTTGTTGAAACACTTGTGAGCCTTAAAACACAGAGCTCCATTATTAAGCTTTAACCTTCCTAACATCTTGCTAGATAAACTTTCTGTAGCTTAGTTATTCTAGACAAGTGTTATTGTTCTATTTGCCCTTGCTTTTCTACAGTTTAAATAATTTTTTCTGCTGACCAATCTCATGGCTGCTGCTTAGCTCCAATCCCAGTTCTGCTGTCTCTGGGGCCTGCCTTTTGCAGCTTCCCCAAAACCCTCTGATTCTGTGGATTCCCACAGAAATCAACCAGGAAAAGCTTCATCCTTGAACATTTTGTGGCCACAAATGAACCACCTGTAGGGCAAGTCAGTGGGAAGTCAGCAGAATCCCAGGATCATAGGATCACAGAGGCTGGAGAATCCCTCCCAGCCCATGGAG